ATTCTCAAAAGATCACAGGTAATGAGGTGAACCAATGGTAGGTAACAGGAGCTGAAAGGAATTAGCACCTATGCTTAAGTAAGGGAAGCAACATTTGGGGTGATGTTAGCCCAAGTAGGCAACCTATAAATGTCAATCCTTCAATAAAAGAAAAATAAAGTAGGCAGGAAAAAGGGAGAAGCAGAATAAATCTTAAAAAACCAGAGTAACAGTGGCTGTGGTGCTCTTCTTATACTACCAAAAAAATGTCCAAGGCAAGCGAGACTATTTTTTGGTGGGGAGATGGACTATGTTCATGTATATGCGGAGTGTCATGAATCATTTCCAGAGGAGCTGATGGGAAGAGACAGAGGGAAATCCTTTAGTAGCACAAAGGCATCTAGGTAGGAAGCAGCGTGCCAAGCTGTCCAGCTGGGCTGGAAGGGGAATTATGAGACATGATCATCAAAATAGGGCCATTTTGTATCATTATAGTATACTGAAACTAATTCGTGCCAGTTTGGGTTTGTAAATATAGGTTGCCATAATTAAGGCTTTGCTTGGGCAAGGTAGATAGAACTTTGGGAGTGGATGGGAGGGAGGGAAGCAGGTGAATGAGTCTGGGCTCAGTGGCTGACTCATTCCCTTCTTCCTCTGAGGGAAGGAGGGACTAGAGGTGCACAGCTGGAGGCTGGGGTGGTGATGCCTTGGTGCAGAGGCAGCTCTTGGAAAAGGTCTGAACAAAAGTGCCTGGAGGAGCTTGGAAGGAGAAGGCCCCTTCTGAAAGCAGGAGGATCTGCTGCGCAAAAGAATCAAAATCTGTATTGATTGCAACAAACTTATAAAATGGCATTTTCTCCAAATTTTCAGACAGCTCCTCACCCAAATCAAAACATGTTGTTTACCATGTAATCACATAATATCACCAGCTGTTTGAATTTGTAGTAAGGCTTTTAAATGCCTTTTCCATATTTGAGTAGGAAAATTCTCCTTTTCTGCACATTATTGCCAAAATATGACATGTAAAAAAATATAAGCACTGAAAGGCTCACAGCACATATGCACATTTAGCCCTAGGAAAAATCAGGACTGTATTTTCACATTTACGTGTAACTCTGGGAATCACTCTTATTTTCATTTCTACTTAATTTTCATTTTTCAATAAAGTTTTTACCTCTGAAAATGGGCTTATTTTCCCTCTCCCAAATTATGTTAGTGTTAAATCATGCATGCATTCTTCATCCTAATCCAAACGCTTAGAAACTGTTAATGTGCACAATCATTCAAGAGACTATTTACATTAAGATATATCAGGGAGTGGTGTAGGTAATGACTCAGTACTCTAAAAGATTTTCTACCACACTCATTTTTCAAATAGTATCTTCACAGCCTAATTTTTTTTTTTTTTGCGGAACCAGGGATTGAACTCAGGTTTTTGCGCTTACCAGGCAAGCGCTTATTCTACTGCGCTATCTTCCCAGCCCCTTTCACAGCCTAAATTGTAAAAAAAAAAAAAAAAAGTTTGTGGCCAGTTCACACTTGCTTTTACATTTACAGTTTAAAATCCCTACTGTAAATTTTACTATATTGTCATATGTCATCACCATGAGGTAGCCATATTATCTGCTTTGCAGTGTTTTTCTTTTCTAGATAATATGGTAGGTAAAAAAATGATCCAATACACGTATCTTGAATAAGAAACTCAGAATGTCAATCTCTTACCATCTTTCTTATTTTCTTTTTACAGTTATTTTGACAATAAACTAAGTAAATGAAATATGTACAAAGTTAGGTAAGTGGGTCAATACTCTGGACCCATTTTGGTTAAGAACAGAAGTGGAAGTATCACAGAGGATTCTATGGGACAGAGTCTTTGAACCTTGACATTCAAGATTCTCTGATTTCTCACTGCGCATTCTTTAAGGCTCTTTGTCAGAACTACACACTTTAGGTTGAACAATGTTGCCCTCCTTTTTCTGATTTTTCACAACCCTACAAACACATGGGTAGGAAACAAGAGGGTCTAAACATAAAAAACGCACACATCTTTGCCAGGCCTGTTTTCGTCCCTCCCTTGTATCCACTCCCTAAATTTTGTGCAGGGCAGTTCGTAGGAGGTGCACTGGAAAAGTTGGCCCAGCACGCACACTCTAGTGATCTGCATCTCAATACTTTCCAGCCTTTACAATTCTTTGTTTTGGCTCTTCCACATCCACTGACTTTCACACTATGATTCTCCCTTCTAAGCATTATTTTTCTCTTCTTTTGAAATGGGGAGGGGATACTGTCTTATTTTAACGATTCTAATTTTTAAAAACATCACCTAGTTTTCAAAAAGCTGCTAACACTTCTGTGTAATACTTGATGTAGTTCCTGTACTACACCCCCTATTTGGACTGTAGATATTATCCTTGACCTGCCCTTAATTTCCTTATCCCCATGGAACGAATTCTGGTACTTGATTTCCTATCTCTCACCGTTCTATTGACACACCCATGGCCGCTGCCATAGACAGGGAGTGTGCAGTTTGCTCTTCCACGAGCAGAAGCACTTGTTAGAGAATGTATCTATGATCTCGTCGCCACCCAACTCCCAGCTCTCTGCAAAACAGCTGTTGGGACAAAAACTGCCACAATGACATAATTTCTTAGAGCGTCCTTCCAGCCTCACAGTTAAACTCTTTCGTTCTTCTTTGCCCCACCCAGGGGTAAACTTCAGTGATTCCCGTGGAGGCAAGTTTTCTGCTTCAGCACTGCATTTGGCGCTATTTCTACCGTTTCCAAACTTGCCGTCTCACGCTGTTTCTATCTGGCTGCGGTGGAGTGGAAAGCCCCTCTGCCTACAAGCAGACAGACCCCTCCTCTGCGACCGATCCCATCCACCTTCTGGATTCTCAAGTCCCTTCCAGCCCCACTGCATTCTGGTTCACGGTTCTTTTGTTCCAAGAGTGCTCCACAAATTTCAGACTTGTCTCATTTGTTCTTCGAAACCCTAAGGCCAGGACTGCGCCCCTCAAACCTGTTTTATTCTAGCAAAGGGCAGGCCTGCTGATGCATCCTGCCTGGACTCCTCCACCAGGCTGGACCACATTTCCCTTTCCCCTCGCAGATCAGACGGGCAGGGGGCCCAGTGCGCTTCGGGAAGTACCCCGCCTTTGTTTTCTTTGCGACACACACCCAGCCTCGAGAAGTGTTTGAAAAATGCCACAGTGCCACTGAGAAGTAGAACCCGGCTTTTCCTAGCTTAAACGAGCTCCTTCGCTCTCATTTCCTGTTCCTCGGCCTCTCCCTCGTTTCTCTTCCCACATCTTGCCACAGAACTGCAAACCTTTCCTAACAAACTTCCCCTTCCCGGCCTCTCCACCGCCGGGGCGGCTTCCCACGCTGGCGGGCTCTGGGGCGCGCGGAGGGGGTGTCTCGCTCAGCCTGCCGTCCCGGCCTGCGCACCTAGGATTGCATGGAACGGGCCTCGCAGTCACCGGTCCAGCCCAGCTTCTGCACCCTGCTGCCCCAGCCGGCAGCCTCCTCCAGCTCCTTGTCTAAATCCGGCGGATCCGGTCCCCGAGGGCGCCTGGCCGCGCACTGCCCCGCGGGGTGCAGACTCCCGCCCCGGGCCCCAGGCAGGGGTCCGCAGGTCCCCTTCCTGCCCTCCTTCAGCGACTTGGCCGGCTTTTCTAAGCGTCAAGCGCGGGCAGGCGTCCCCTCTCCCCTGGCTGCAGAGCGAGGCGCGGATCTCCGCCTCGCCTCATTCATCCCGCCAAGGTGAAGCACGGGTCGAGAGGACGTCCCCGCCTCGCTCGCAACGTGCGTCTCTCCGGAGCCCAAACAATGATTTCCCTGCTTCCTTGGCCGGCTCTCGGGGCGCCCCCACACCCCGCGCTGCGGACGCCCCGGCGGGAGCCCCATTGTCGCCCGCTGCAGCCCCAGCCCGCGCCCCGCACCCGGACGCCCGCCCGCGCCGGCTCCGCCCACACCTTTCCAAGTTCGCCCGCGGGCGACCCGGGTGGCGCGCGCCCCCTTCCCGAGCGCCCCCACCCGGACGGCGGCGGGGAGGGCGGGGGCCCGGCGGCCCGGCGGCCCGGCGCCTTATTTGTCTCCGAATTCTTTCCTAACGCCGCCTCGTGCGCTTTGACACAAAAGAGGGGACCTGCTCGCGGCTCCGCGCGAGTCTGCACCCGGCGAGCGGCCCACCGAGCTCCTCCCGCCGCGCACCCCCAGGGCCCTCGGCCGGCTGCGGCGGCGCTCCGAGGCCATGCGCGGGTTACCGGGGGCGCCGCGG